CGTACCTCTTACTTAGAGTAAAACGCCCTTCTTTTTATCAAATTTGTTTAAATAATTCTCCTTTTTGGCTATAACTTATTCAGAACAATAGAAAACCCCATTATATGAAACTACATTAAATGTACAAAACGTTAAAAGAAATATCATTGGATCATCTCTCTTTGTGCTTTATCAGTTTATACGCATAAGTTTTTTAATAAGACTTTAATTAATATTTAATGATTAAAATTATTGCTAATTATTGTAAATTATTGGTGGTACTCCACGGTTGGAATTTTTTTAAGAATGTTTAAGAATGTTTGCGACTCGTGTTTATTTTACGATAAAAGTCGGTAGTTTCTAAAATGAAATAAATTTTGAGACAGAAAAGCCATCTTGCTCTAATCATGTAGCCAGATAATGATTTTATGAATATTTCATTTTAATTTTTATTACAAGTATTTCAATTGAAACTCATGCAGGTAATGAGTCATTATGATAAATCTTGTCTTGTTTCCCCTACACATCTAATTTTGAACAGGTCATACAACGTAATTATGCATAGTTCCTAATAAAGATATAAGTGCCTAGTTTTTTCTTTATATTCAACTAAATGAAACTTGACTTTCAAAGGATGAAATGTGAAAACATAATTTAGTCAGTTCTTCATAAAGATATAGGTGCCACCAGTGCCGTGGCTAGTGGCCCTCCCCCCACTTAGGGTGTATTGAGGAGCATAGACTTGATTCTGGTGTCTAGTTTTTTCTTTATATTTAATAAAATGACTCTGGCCTTCCAAAGGATAAAATGTGAAGACATAAATTTTATTTTTTTGAGGGAATAAACTGTCATAATAATACTTCTGTGTTTATAAAAAATTATAATATTGTGTATTCATTTGTGAAATTTTGATTCTAAAATAATGAAATTATCAAGGTGAATGTTGTTAAGAAATTTAATAAGGTATATATATAAAATTTTGTTAAAAAATTTAATAGTTTGCATAATGTTATTAAGAATATTAATAAGATAAATTAGTTAGTTCTTTATAAAGATATAGGTGCCTAGTTTTTTCTTTTTTGATTAACTAAATGACTCTCGATTTCTAAAGGATAAAATGTGAAAACATTACTTTAATTTTATTTGAGGGGATAAGCTGTCATACAAATATTTGTGTATTTCTCTTGGATTATTTAGGGATTGTCCTATAAACAAAAGCATGTATTTTTTTATGAAATGTAAAACCTTGCATTAAGAACAGCATAAAAAAATTTCTTAATAATTTAGGTTAAAACTTTTTTTTATACATTATAGGTACGTTAATTTATGACTATTCTCTTTTTCTTAAGATAAATGGTTTTTTCTTATTAGTTTTTATTAATAAAGTTATTTTATTCAAAAATATAAACTGAATAAAATTTAAGTAACAATATTACTAAACTCTAAGTGCGTTACAAGTTATAACAGTTTTATTGAGGACTGCTTTATGAGGAAGATAATTTCGGCGAATAAATCACTAAAGTTTATTATTACTTTGTTCTTTAAGAACATGGAGCACTCTTTTTGTAGAACACACTAACATGTTTGACATATTTATGTTAAGAACGTAGACTAAAAATTTTTAACTGAAATACTATGTTATAGATATATCCATATTGATAGTCATAATTAATTTGCGTTATAAAAGGAATAATTTTCAATAAACAACAAATTACTTAATATGCCGAAATTAGGCATTGTCCATAAAGTACGTAAGCTCGGATGGGGAGACGGGGTCTGCAAATGGCGTATATGAGATAGGGGGGAGGAAAGTGGTCAATTATAAAAGTAAGGAGACACTAAATTGAAAAAAATATCATAAAATGTTGCGTAGGTAGGCTAAGAACGTGGGTACAATTACGGAGTTGGAGCGAACTAAAAAAAGCGTAGGACAAAATGCAAGGGGATGGGGGTGGAGCAGTGGCGGATTAAGACTTCTAATGGTCCGAGGCTGTTTTTGGTTTTGGAGGCTTTTTTATGGGCATAAAACTGGCTAAAAAAAAAAAAGTTCCTCTAAAACTTGCGGGGCCTAGGGCTACAGCCCCCTAAATCCCTCCTTGATCTGACACTGAGGTGGGGATGGAGGGTCAAAATAAAAGCGTCCATACTTTATGGACAACCCCTTTACTCTATTTTACACTATATATTGTGAATAATAATATATTATAACTTATATATATTATAATATAAGAAAGATATATTATATTATAAGAAAGATACGCTAAAACTAGCAGTAATAATTGATAAACAAAAAAAATTAGAGTTCATAATAAAAATTGTGATCTTTGATAATATTTTTATTACAAAATAAAAAGTTCAATTTAAAAAGATAAACTTTTAAATCTTTTGGGAAGACACACTCCCATAAAACTTTTTTTGGTTAAAATCTATAGCTAGGAAAATGAAAAGAATATCTACTAAAAGTAAGTTAATGCTTTGTACAAATTATTAATTGACCTTGAATAATTGTAAATTAACAAAAATTAATACAAATGTTTTATGTTTGTCACTATCGTACCACTTATAAGTTGTACATATAAGTTGTACTATAGTAACATAAAACATTTTAGAAAGGCTTAGGAGCAATTTCCATTTAAGATCCTTAAAAGTTACCAGTAGCTTACATTTAGCAATAGTTAAAAGTTACCAGTAGCTTACATTTAGCGATAATTAAAACTAAATTAAGTAATTAGTATTTTTTTGAACACAATAAAATATAAACAAAGTAGCAGAAATGTTATTTAAATTTAACAAAAATAAAAAAAAATTATCAATTTGGAGTAATAAATTTTGTTAACTTTTAAAAATTGCTTACATAATTTTATATTCTTTAATAATTAAGTCATGTAACTGAAATATTGAGAACAGTAGTGTAAAAAACCTCATTCAAAATAAAATATTTGCAATTAATTATTCACCAGTGATTATTTATTGCGTGTGATTATTAATTTGATATATGTTTTATAATATCATAATATTTAATTTGATATATGTTTCATAATATGTCTTCATACAGTTTAATAATTTTCTTTTTGTTATAAAATAAAACTACATTTAAAATAAAGTTTTAATTTCCCTACAACACCCTGGTTCTCTTGAATAACTCTCTTATTTCTCTTTCTACATAACTTTTATATTTATCAATGAGAAGACAAAAAGTTATTATCGAAAGAAAATAATCTATTAGATGTTTCAAGCAGAGTAACAAGAGACCGTTTCCTGAAACATTAAGTTTCAGTCTCTTTTTTTTTTTTTTTTTTTTTTTCATTCATAAAATATACGTGACGACATTTTTTAAAAATGTTCTTGCGCTTAAAAAGAAATAATTGCATAAATTGCCTTTGTTATCTTTTTCTATTTTTACAAAGCCGATCAAGCAGATTATATACTTGTTTTAAACTCATTCTACTTTGTTACCAATTAATAAATACAAATAGTTTAAAAAAAAATTATTTGCTATAAAAAGTTATTTAAATAAGTTTTTTTTAAACTATAGTAATTATTTTGAAGAACAGATTTTTGTTGTTGTCGAAATCCGCAGAGAAAATTGAAATATAGTTTCTTTTTCATGCGTTCCATAACACTGCACATTATAATGATTAATAAAAAATCTTCAAACGTTAAATTTATTTAATGTTAAATATATTTTCAAGTAATTATAGGAATAGTTTTGTCTTCTTCATTTTGAACAAAATGTAAATTGATTAACTGACCTTGTGCTATATAGACATTAGTTTATGACGTAATAATCATCCTTTTGAATTTTTGATGTTACGAATATCCCTCAGCGCGAGACTTGTGCGCCTTTATTTTTCCAATACAAAGAAACAACAAGCTCTGAAAAAAGACGTCAAACTGTATCATAGGAAAATGATTCCGTGCCGGGTTAAATTGGATCATTAGAGATAAACTCTGTGCAGGGAACACTCTCAGAAAAACATTTTTATACGTTTATATAATTTTCTATTTAAATATAAGTTTATCTGTAATTTTGTACTATTAGGTATATTTTTTAATTTAAACATAGTTTTATAAGTTTATTGTTTGTATGAATAAAGTCAAAAACAGTGGGTATTGTTTAGTAAAATTTTTCAAAATTGAAGATTCCAACAGTATTATTTTTTATGGCAGTACTTCGTTGTCAACGTTAATATTTTTACTAAACGGCGGAGAATAAATAATTCTCGTCTAATTATTTGTGTAATAATTGATGAAATAAATAGTGATGATTAGTACATAAGAGTTTATTGAAATAGGAAAAAAATTCCTCAGAGAATAATTTTGATTTAATTTTTGATTTGTCTAAAAATCCTTTAATAGTTTTTAACAGCTCGTTTTTTAAAAGCAATAATTTTTTAATTTTTTAAACCTTATTAGCCTGTTTTTACTACAACATGCTGACAATGTAAAAATTATGTTTTAAAAAACTTTAATTTGCTTTTTTTTTAAAAGATTCGTTAACGTAGTATAAAAATTAGATTTCTTCAATAATGAAACTTTATAAAATGAAAAATGACAAAAAATTTTATTGGTTGTTTTTTGATTTTTATTTTTTTATATTTTTTGTTTAAACTCAAATGGCCAGAACCAAATTTAAAATTTATTTTTTATTTATTTGTCATTAACCAAAATTTACATAACAAAACAAGTACTCAATAACATTAAAGACCAGATTAAGAAATAGGTTTGTATTATTGATAATTTTAAGCAAACGTCAAAGCTGCTAATTATAACATAATACATAATTAAAATTAAAACTTAAAACATAATAATAACATTTCAATTTTTTGCTTTCAAATTTTTTAAATAATCAAGAGTTAGCATTTAAGACTAAAATCCTTTTTTAAACATTCTCAAACAAGTATCTAAAACATAATTTTTTAATCGATGGATTGAGTTGAAGTGATTTGCTGTTACTTTTATAAAGAAAATAGAATTTACGTTCAAATCGGAAGGCCTTTAGTGACTCAACAAAATCATCTCATTAGCTCTTTTAATTTATTTCAACAGCAACACAAAATCGTTGAATGAAATAAGTTAGACATTACTTCGCTCAGTCTGTTTTGTCGTTTTGTTTAACAACGATTGTTTATAATTTCCTGACCGTTATAATGACAAGTTAAAGATTCATTTATATTGTAATTCTGTAAGTGTTAATTACTACCGCCATATTTCTTGTACGAAGGGGTTTCTTTAACAAATTTATAAAACAATTGCATTAGATCGGTTTTAAAATACAAAAAGGAAACACTTTATTGTTGTCTTTTTGGCGTGTAAGTGAACGCAATGGTACATCTTTATTTTGTAGATTATAATTGTTTTAAAATATATTTAAAGAAATAACCTAAAATTTATTAAACTTTATGTTATTAATTAAACGAGCGTAAAGGTTTCAATCTCAGAAGTAAATGTGTTTTAATGACTTATGAAGATAATAAGTAAAATTAACTTAAAAGAAATATATTGCTGTAAGTTGTACATAACTTTTTGTTTTTGTTCTTTTTATTTTTTTGAAAAACTAAAATATTATGAGCAGTTGATTTTTTCATCAGTTTGTGTGCAAGTTTTTTTTTAATACAAAGCTTTTATTTTTGATTATTTTAATACGAATATTTTAATTTTGTATAGTACAAAATTGCTTTAAGATTTATTATTATTTTATTTTTGTGCTTGTATATATTTATATTTATAGAATATATTGTAATTGTATTTCTTATTTTTTGTACCCATGAATGTTGTATTCTTATTTATTTATTGTACTCATGTTCTATTTCTTTATTTAAAATATAGGTCGGTTACAATAGAATGACGCCTCTGTAATTAGATTGGTTTTGTAATAAAATTATTACTTCCTCGGAACATTCTCATTGCATATTATTTAAATTTTCGTTTATATTTTCGCTATATTAATAAAGAAAATATAAACAATTTTTAATAAAGTTTTATTAGATACATGTAAATAAATATAATATAAAAGAAATATAGGAACATTTTATATGCGCAAAGAGGTGTTCTGACTTATGATATTGATTTAATAGCTTTAATAGTGTCGCTCTGATAATGTTGTCTTATTAAGTTGTTGAGATAGTTGCTATTGTTTCTGTTAATGTTGTAACTACTCGTGCAGTAAATTTTTTTTTATATAAATAATTTATAGTTACATAATTTAAAGTTTTTAATGAACATTATGATGAAGTTTTACAGCTTTATGGAAAAGTTCGTAAGAGATATTAGCTCTTAAGTCATACTTTGATATGCATTAAACTTACAAGCGCCCATAGACTTGGCATAAAGTACCGTCACGGAAGTGTCGCGTAGATTACAAATATATAGTGTACTTGTCGTTGTTCACGGTAATTTTCTATTCTTTAATCGGAAAGACTTTCGACGCCTGCTTTGAAATTTCAATAAAATATTTGACATTTTAATGTGATCAAATTATAGAAACAAACCACAAATTATTTTCATTTATTCATTGATTTTAAAACATCACTTAATGTACAAATGAAGGTGAGACTTGTCAAAGAAAAGGCAAACTATTAAACAGAAAGAAAAAGAAAATTCAGTCAAATTTTCTTTAGTGAAAAGCTCAGCATAGTGGGTTTTCCTTTATATAGTTATTATTTATTACTTTACTTGCACACACACATGTGTGTGTCTATATATATATATATATATATATATATATATATATATATATTATATATATATATATTATATATATATTATACATATATATTTTATATAAATACATATATTATACATATATTATACATATATATATATATATTATATATATTTATATATATATATATATATATATATATATATATATATATATATATATATATATATATATATGTATATATATATTATATGTATACATATATTATACATATATATATTATATATATATATATATATATATATATATATATATATATATATATATATATATATATATATATTATACATATTATATATATATATATATATATATATATATATATATATATATATATATATATATATATATATATATACATATATATATATATATATATATATATATATATATATATATATATATATATATATATATATATAATATATATATTATACAGATATATTATACAGATATATTATACAGATATGTATTATATATATATAAATATATATATTTATATATATATTATACATATTATATATATATATATATATATATATATATATATATATATATATATATATATATATATATATATATATATTATATATTATATATTATACATATTATATATATACATATATATATATATATATATATATATATATATATATATATATATATATATATATATATATATATATATATATATAATAGTTATAGACTATCTTGTCGTCAGGAGAAAACTAGGAGGCCGTCCATTTTTTGTTTTACCATAAAAATAGACTTTCTACCGTAAAATCTAACAGATTATTCAAATATTTCCTAAATTTCTACTATTTTTGAAACTAAATTTTGTAGACACACACTCCACTTACTGACAAATATTTATTGATAATAAACAGAAAAAAACACGAAATGTGTACTTGGCTCTCATATGATGTTGGGATATATAGCCGTTAGTAGCCCGTAATAAGACCAGTTGTTACGGTAAACACACCGCAAAAAACTCATATAAAAAAAAGCTACAAATTCAATTAAAAACAGTAAAAACAATTGATACAAACTTTGAAACTAAATAGTTTAAATTTGTTCAAGTCTTAATTATTGCTAGTTTTAATTTTTTTTTCTCCAAACATTTTCCGCGCGTGTAATAAAGAAGAAAAATTACGCTCTCAGTGATGGGATAGAATAATTAAAGTGGAATTTCAAATTTGCTTTTTCAAATTTTTTAAAAAATTAGAATTATGAAAAACAGCCAATTAATATCAAAAGTAAATATTTTAAAATAGAGAATAAGTTTAGGTACTTGATGTGTTTTTTAGCCCCCATTCCTTTTCGTAAATGTATTAGAAAGAATTTTTTTTTTAAACTTTATATTTAAAAACACGTCAATCACTTAAACAAAATGTTTGAAAAAATATATGCGAGTAAAACAAAAAGTCGTGACACTATTACCTAGACAAGATTGACAAATCGTTTAATTGAAACAAATTGCTTTCTTTGTTAATGGTAATATATAAATTATCTGACAAATGCCATCAATATTAAAACTAACTTTAATTTGATTAAAAAATTGCTGGTAAAGCTAGTTCAATATTAATGGATTACTTAAAAGTCTGGCCAACCATGCGTTTTTTTTCCCTCTGGCTTACGAAAAATATGATTACTTATTAACAAACGCTATGTTTTTAATCTACTTTACAACTTGATATATAATTGTACTATTGGCATTGAATATTGCCATATCAATACTAGTCAGTCAATGGTAATCAATGAATGATTACCACTTTAAGAAAAATTAACTGAGTTTATATATTTACTTAGATTAACTATTTAAGTCATTTAGAGACGTTTTATTTAACAGATTTTACTTCAATAGCTCACCGTTCGGAACAAATTTTATTTCACCAATGCTATGTATGGTTGTTTTTTTTACGTATATGCTGATTTATTGATAGCAATAATCATTTTTGATGAGCAACGAACTACCATTTAAATGTCAGGTAAATTTCAAGATCTATATATGAAGTTCCTAAAGATATCACAAAATTATTTTATGTATCACTTTCACTATTCACTAAACCTATATATCAAGTTCCTAAAGATATCACAAAATTGTTTTATGTATCACTTTAGAAGTTTATATACTTATTTTCAATAAGGTTCTTTTTTTTGTGTACGTATTAAATAATACCTTCTCTTTAAATGTTTCCTTCAAATTTAAAATTACTTTATCTTTCAATTCTAAGTTAAGATATTTCTTTTTTTTAACTGTATACGCTTTCTTGTAACTTTTATTAAAGGCGTAAAACAGAAAATTAAAATTAAAATAAAATATTTAAAAATTTTAAGATTAGGTTTATACATTTTAAAGATCTCTCTGTTTGTTTGCTTTGCTGATATAATGTATACAAAAAAAAAAAAAGTTTTTTACTCGCAAAAAAATTTCGTAGCAAGTATAGTGAATATAAATCTGTCTTTTAGGACTAAAATAACACACATAAAACAAACAATAATGTTTCTCTAAGCTATTGAGGCTAAAACTCCATGTCATTGGGAAAATCTAAATATGTTTTTTTTTATAACTACTTTGTTCCGTGATTTATCACGCAGTTTTTAAATCTGTATTATTTTGTGCAGACAGACTAGTCTAAAGAAAGTATAGTTTTTTTATGCGCAAATGTGTTTACGCTATTGAGAAATTAAGACAAATTGCTAAATCAGGAAATGATAACAGACATCATTATCACATTATCAAAATATTCTCAACAATATAATGGTTATAATAGCAATTTAACATTTGTTACGTGTTGCTGAAAGCTTGGATATACCACCATTCTTCCCAGAAATAATGCAACCTCTCCATTACATACACGCATACACGCTTACATGAATACACGCTTACATGCATACACACATACATACATACATACATACATACATACATACATACATACATACATACATACATACATACATACATACATACATACATACATACATACATACATGGTGTTAGTCTTTAGTTAAACCCTGTACTAATTAAAGTTTTAAATAATTTAATTTTAAATAAGTAAAAAACGCAAATACTTTTGCGTCACCACATTAAATAAAATTTCAAGTCATCCTTTGGCAATATTAAGATCATCGTATTAATATATATCGCATCATTGCCAAGGAAATATTTTATTTGTCATATGAAGAGCGTCTTGAAACAATTTCTTAACCATACTGCTTAGAAACACTCTTGATGACAAGTATTTTTGAAACAAGTTAAGAAACTTTTTGTTACGTTTTTACGCGTATTAATTAGACTTAATCGAACAGCACATATAATAACTAGAAGGGTTGGATACGTAATAAATCAAATTGAAATAATTCTGGCTAATTATCAATTACAATGACAAATAATAATCATTTTTTTTTAAGAATGTAAACGTTAAAATATCCATACATACTTTTTTTTAAAAAAGATAACTATTTAAAAAATATCGGTTGATTTAAATTTGTAATTATTGTCTCAAATCTGTTTTGAATTTTACATTTTGATGTTTTTTCAACTTTTGTCTTTAGATTCTTAGAATAATTAAAGCAATTCATAAAACCGACGTTAGTTATAACTGTGACAACAGTTAATCACGTCTAAATACTGACCTATTGGCGCCAATAGAATTAAAAAAATACGCCTCTTGATTAGAATACGCCACTGGATTATTAATATCATTTATATAAACACTTCAAACAAAATGATGTTTTTATTTTGTCTCTCACCTTTAAACACAACAAAGATGAGAAATTGAATTTGTTTTTTTGAAAAGATATCAAAGTTTGATGGCTAGCATTAACTTTCGTAACCATTTTAAAAATAAACGTTTTAAAGATAAAAAGAATTTTTTTTTATTTTAAGACATTTAAACTTATTAGAGTATTTAAAAACCTACTGCACTATGTTTTTATATGAACTGCATTTTTTTCCTTATCTATTGTTTTTAGATGTATATTTATATGATTACACACACACACACACACACACACACACACACACACACACACACACACACACACACACACACACACACACACACACACACACACACACACACACACATATATATATATATATATATATATCTACTATACCATATTTATATGCGCAATTGCTCACTTTTTTTGCTAGCCTAAATTAAGTGAGCGTTTTTAGAAAACGAAGAATATATATATATATATATATATATATATATATATATATATATATATATATATATATATATATATATATATATATATATATATATATATATATGTATATAAATATATATATATAAAACATCAAATTGCTATTTTTTAGAAACTAATAATAAACACCTGTGCTGAAATCAAGATGCTCATTTCACGTCTTACTTTTCTATTAGTGGTATACTATCTTATTGAAATTGATTGCGCTGCGTTACCGTCTTTTAGTGATATGCTAGAGGAAACTTCACAGAAACCGGATATTAAAGCCATGATTCCTTTATTTAAAGAAATGCAAAAACCTTCAATTGAAGAACGCAATCCTCAGAAACTTTTATATATTCTCGGAAACAGTTATGACTCAGAATTTTCTTCTATTGCAAAACCTCCTTCAATGAAAGCACGCGAACCCAGCACTGACGATTTAGATACCGACATACCTTCTAGTATGAAAACACACCCAACTATGAGCGAAGAGGTCCTTAATGCAAAGTTTTCTGCCAAAGTAAAAGGTAAAAAGAAGGAATTCGGGAAACGTTTAACTGAAAAAATGCAAAATTATTTATGGAACTTATCAAAATGCCCCGTCAAGTATAAATGGATTGACTTGGGTGAAAATATTTTTCCACAATATATCAAAAGAGGTTCGTGTTCAAAGAAGAAAACATGCTCTTTTCCTGCTGGTATGACATGCGAAGAGTCAAAATGGAAATCTGTAGACATATTGTTATACACATGTTTGAAGGAGTATAACTCTGTTTCTCTTGACTGTAAATGGCGTCCTATGCCAGTCAATATATTAACTGAATGTTCTTGTCAGTGTAAGAAACAAACAGAATAGCGAATGGTTTCGTTGTCCGAGAGAATATCTTTTACACTACCACACGGAAATGACGTCATTGTTTGTGACTAAAAAACAATTAATGTTAAATTAGATGGCTTTTAATTTTTTAAAAAAATTAATAACCGTAACCATTAATGACCGTAACCACCAGTACGACCATCATAGACATCATTGACCACAAGTTAGGCGAACATGTTCATCAACATTTATTTAGAAGTTGCAATTGACAAAGTACTTTGCTAAAAAAAAATTCTTATAAAAAGTTTGCTTATCAGGCTGAAACTTAATTTTCTGAGAGTTAAAGAAGTATATATATATTTTCGTTGTTAACGGGGAAAAACCTTTTGATTGTTTGGTATTCAATCGAGCTGATTGGAATACGTCATACGTTTAGTCATGCGCATACAATCAGCGAATTTTCAATAAAAAAAATTAACTTAATTTTTTTCTGTAGAAGACTTAATTTATTTTGCATATAAAAAAATCTTATTTATTTAAAAAAGCATATTGATACATACATACATACATACATACATACATACATACATACATACATACATACATACATACATACATACATACATACATACATACATACATACATACATACATACATACATACATACATACATACATACATACATACATACATACGTATATGCATACATATATACAATGTTAAATCGTTTTGTTTAATTGTATTACTTGCAACTTTATTTATTTTAATATATCGAGTTTTTTCTTTTCCAGAGTTAAAGGGTAACATGATTGTTTTGTATAAAAAAATTACATAATATTGCCATATATAGTGTGTGAAATATTTTATTTGCAATTGATTTTTTTTTATTTTAAAATATATATATATACATTATATAAAAATATATAAATACTATTTAAACCATAGAACTTGTTGTGTTTTTTTCGTTACATAATTTTTGGGGTTTTAGTGAGACTAAAATTACCCAATGTGTTTTTTCATATTGTCAGTTAACATGTGTTATTGTCACGAATCTTTTTTAACAGGTGTTAATAATAGATTGCGACAAGAAAACAATGTGTTATTGTTAAAACGTAAGCTCTACTTTTTTTGTTAATTGCAAACAATTATTTTGCATTAAAAACAATAATTTTAAATAAGATTCTAGTATATAAATTAAAGAATAAAAATGAAACAACAACTTATAAGAGATTATTAGCTGTTTTGTATCAACAAAGGTTTTTTTATTCTGTTCCATTTCTGTTCCAGCTAAAACGTAACGTCGCTCGCGCAGCGGTACAGTTGATTTAATTTTCATTTTGAAGTCATGGTAGCAAAGTCTAATTGGTTCATTTAAGGTCACGGCAGCAAATATGATTGGTTGATTTAAAAGTTTTAGTTATAGATTTTGAAAATACTTCAACCTTTTTCTATGTTTGGAAATTTGTGTTTGTATGTAGATTTATGTTTTTTAACTATCATTGTTGTTTATTGAAAGTTGCATTACTATTTATTATTTACATACGTCGACTGAAATAAGGATCAGCGCAGTGAGTGCGCATAGATCGACTAATAAAAGGATATGCGCAGTGAGTGTACATTCATCGAATAATTATAGGGAGAGACGCGTGCATCGAATATATAAAGTTAGGAGTATACATCGACTGATCAAGGGATAGACGCAGTGAGTGCACATACATAGACTGATATAAGGATAGGCGCAGCGAGCACACATACCTTAACTAAGGGTTTAGGTTTAGGCAGGCATTCTTTAAGTCAAAGACAAAAAATCAACCAATTAGAAATCACTACCGAGAAAAAATAAACAGCGGTATCGTTGCGCGAGCGAGAGCGATAGTATAAACCTAAATTCTTGAATTGAGATTTTGATATTAGTCATAAATTTGATTAAAAACGCTACAGAAAAAATATTATCTGAATGGAGAGTAAGAAATTTTTTGTTAGATTTTTTAATGAGATTTTAACCTCCTTGGCGTAAAGACGCTCCATAAACTTTAAATAGGATATCTTTTAAGTATTCAAAACATTCAATGACTATATTACCGTTTATGTCATCTGCTCCGTTTGATTCATTTTTTTAAAGAATTTTGAAATCTTTTTCAAAATCTTGAAAAGATAGTTAAGGAGATAATTCGTTGGAACCAGTGCAACTATCCACCTGAACTAAAAAAATTCTATATGTATCATTTGTATAAGGAATTTTGTTTGCTATTTTGGGACCGATGTCTACAAAGAATTTATTAAATTCATGTACTATAGCTTTTGATTTGCATACGTGTTTGTTATCATCTATAATCGTTTGGGGGAGGGAACCTGAGCCTCTTTTTTGTCTACCACTAATTTCATCCATTATTTGCCAAGTGCGCTTTTAATAGTTTTTAAATTTATCTATGAGTCTTGAGTAGTAATTTTTTTTTAAAGTTTTTACGAACTTTTTCAAATAGGTATTTGAATTCTTTATATATTTTTTTAGATGATTTTGTTTTAAGATATTTTATATAAAGCTTCTGTTTTATTTTTGATGATTTTTTAAATCCCCTGGTCACCCATGGGTTGTTTATATTTTTTGGATTTATTGTTTTTATAATGATAGCAAAATTAGTGTCATACATGTAATAAAATGTTTCAAAAAAAATTGTCGTTAATTTTGTCTGCATTATCATTAAAGCTAATATGCTTCCAGTGTAGGAGTGATAATTGTTTTTAAATTATTTTATATTAATTTCGTTAAAAGTGCGTGTTTTAATTTTATTTGATTTGGTTATAATTTCAGAGTTTGATTTCAGAGCAAAAAATTGAAAAACTAGTTTTGATTCTTTCCTGGTTACAGCAAAATATCAGTGCAGGTAGATCGCTTCATACTGCGTTCACATTTTGGATGTGGGAGCTAGGATTTTTTTTTTCCGCAGGCTCCAGAAATCGTAATTTATTTGCAAAGCATGCTTATTTTACATGCATGACAAGCAAAGCATATAAATGCCTTGACTTTGTTCACCGAAAATAAAATGTCGGTGCCTATGAAACGGTTAGGCAATCATTTTGATATATTGTTCATTAGCAACTGAAGCAAACTGAATAAATATTTAAATATTGAATTGCCAGGGCCGTCTCTAGGGTTGGCGACGCCCACTCCCTCCAGTATTAGTTGCGTATATAAGCTTTTTGTGATGCCACCAATACTTTACTAGTTACACCACTTACCAATCTACCATAAAGATAAATATATACACTCGATTTAAGGATTGTAATAAGTTACGAAAATGAAATAATTTAAACAATATGATTTTATATGAAAATTTAAATTACTGACAAAATAAGTAAATTTATAATGGTATTCTTTGAGATTTTTATAAGGAAAATTGCGCTACAATTTATTCAAGGCTGAGTCTTTTCGTCTCGTCGTTTTCAATGGAGAGTATCGCAAGCGACGTCAATCTTTCTTGCGTCATTGATCTACGTTGGTTGGTTTTAACTGGTGTTGTCTGCAATATGCTTAATTAACTACGCAAAAGAACTAGTTTTATTTAAAACTAGTTTTTTTGCGTAGTTAATTAAGCATATGTGGATAATTATCCACAGATTAGTAAAAAGGTCGGTGTTTTTGGTTAAAAAGGCGCGAGCCTAATGGATGACCTGCATAACTATGCTGGAAGACTTTATGAAAGGAACAAAAAGATGATATGTTAACAAAGGCCGCTAAAAAATATAATTTTGGGGAGGAAAAAAGGAGCCCGGAGCAGCTTGTCTCAGTTATTACCCAACCCCTCCTCCCAGGGACGACCCTGAAAATTACGGCTGTAAAAAAAGATTATTTCTGAAAAAGATATGAGTGAAAATGATTTAATTAACTTTTAAATGCTTAGCAAATGTTTAGTTGAATAATGTTCCTTTATGTAACTTTTTAAATATACTAAGATTTAACAATGGGTTATTAATAAAATGTACGATGAAAAAATGTCCTCGCTCCCGGGTGGGCTTGAACCACCAACCTTTCGGTTAACAGCCGAACGCGCTAACCAATTGCGCCACGGAAGCTATACTTCACGAATGAAAAATTATATTAATAAATAATAAAAACTACCTTCAAGTTTTTTTTTATGTTATTAATTCAGAGAGATTTGCATTTCGTAAATACAAAAACTTACATTTTTAAACTTCAGTTTTTTGTGTTTTCCGCTTATTTTCAACTATTACTGCAATTTATTTTTAAAAAGTAGAATTTAAGGGGTTCTTATGTAATTCATTATTATTTTTTTTAAATCTTTTTTTAACCAAAGCAACAAGCAAAACAAAACCAGGGCCGTCCCAAAGAGGTCTTGAATGGAGGGAGTGGAGGTTGAATGTATTTTTTGTCAACCGAAAAATTTCGGGTTTCTTTCGTTTATGTGCGGATGACGTGCTTTTTTATCGCGGTACGCTGGTTTAAAATGTAACAATGATATAATTTTTTGACTTGCAAAATAAAAGTTTCCTTTGCTGCCTTTAATCTATAACGTAAACATTATGAATTCCTGTTAGGGTTAGAGTCTACATATAATATGATAAATTCATAACATAATTCATTTCTTAATTTATTACTTTATCTGTAAAAATTGATATTATGTTATTTGGTTATACTAATCAGTGTTATATTAATGTTTTAAATAATCTTAATACAATTGTAATGTGGAATAAAGAGCGAATAAATTGTCACCACCCCCAAGTGTCTATTTAAAGTCGCGAATTGTTATGGTGTCCATTAGATTTTGTTAATTCAATTTTCTATTCAACACTGGTTTAGTACCTTAATTTCTATTTTTTGTTTTGCGAGAACCAATCTCCTTCAGGAATTCGAACTAAAAACGGCTTACAGATTTATTGAATAATATTTTAAGAAAATTGTATGGTGTTAGGTAAGGGTATATTTAAGTTGTCATTACATACTATTACAGGATAAAAACATTAAAAACCTTAATTAATAAACTCTTTATTGCGTTTTATAAAAACATTACAAAAAATTAAAATAAAAACATAGTTTAGAAAGGTACTTATAATAAAATTAGTACAAAGTATCTTTCTATGTAATAATTTATACAACATATAATAATATATAAAATCTACACAATTAAAGTTATAATTTTTCGGCGATTATTATAAAACCGTCCAATTTGCTGTTTATTTTCAGCATTAAAAACTTTTTAAAATCTTCTTTTTCAATTTCAAAAATTCAAATAAAACATATTGTAGGATATGATTTTCAAATATATTGAATATAGATTTAACTTATAATAAAGTTTTAATTAAATTAAAAGTTTTATAACTTATACCTATTGTCAGGGGCGGATCTTCGGGATCGAGACATTTGAAATAAATTTGCGGTGAGTACACAAGTTAGTACACAAGTTAGTTATGATAATAATGCACAGGCTCAAATGTAACATGCTGCATGTATGACAATTGAGCGATTAGCCCAATGAGTACATTTCGAAAAAGTTGGAAGTATGTAGTAGCTCTCTTTCCAAATAACTTACGCGGTTTCGCGTAGTTAGATACAACGTCTGGT